CTCTTTCCCAAAGTATATTTTGCAATGTGGATAACTTCAAGTTGGTTTGAAATCATTTTACTTGATTTTTACAAACTCATTCCTTCCAAACATCTCCATTTCTTGCTGAAATCAGTGGAAGATGAAGATGCTCAGACTCTTTTCACGGATGGGATTGTGTTTTGGGCTGTGAATGTTAGCTGCCTGAGAAGTCTGGTTCTGCAGGACTGAGCCATGACTCATGGCAGCTCTCTACCCTATTTAGATGAGATCCAGCTATTCCTCAGAGCTCCCCCTGCCATGCCCACTACCTTGCAATCTTGTCAAAATGTCCAGTCTCACACTACTACAGAGCAGTACTTCAAGCAGGTTTTGCTCCAGCTAGATTTTGAAGATTGTCAATTTAAGCAGTTGTAAAATTTGAATATGTTTATGCATATTCAGCAGATGAACAAAAACTAAGTGTATTTAAAGGATTTTCTTCACTTTATAGTGGCAAAAAAAAATCCTATAGTTTTCCCTATTATTGCTATTTTTAGTCTTAAGTTCTAAAATATCCATGCTTGTTCATACCACTCTGTTCCTAATAATTGAAGTGTTTCAGCAGTGGAGCTTTCTTAATTACATGATCTGTTCTGGGTCATTTGTGTGGGGCATTGTAGAGATCAAGGATCTACATGGACAGAAAGCTTCAAGTATGAATGATAAATCCTAACATTAAATGACAATTTCTATATTATCCAGAGGTTCATTCATCTTGTTTGTTGCAAATGGACAATGTCCAGGTGACTGTCTTCCCTTAGACCAAAGAGTGAAAAGTTTCTCAGAGAGTGAAAGTTTCTGATGTTAATGTTTTGCTTCTTTGTTGTCCTTTTTAGCCATAACACAGTGCAAACACGCTATTTTTGTTTTTCTTCTGCATGAAGTTTGCAGTTGATGTATGAAAATGTTGTTTAAAATTCACAGGTTATACAAAACTCCCTTTTAAATGGTTTGACTACCTCAGGGAAACTGACTCAATAGCAGCACCTGTAAAGCTCTTCAATAAGGTAATAAAGATTATGCATGTATATTTAAACTGTAATTAGTATTTTCTTGAAATGAGACTATGCAGACAAATTACATACAATTTTGAAAAACTAAGGAACTTCTAGAAATAAGAACCATTTGAATGTATTAAGCTTGAGTATTTCTGAAATGTTAACTATATACAGGCGTACATGAAATTTCATAAATGACACTTGGTGTTTTCCTACATCAAGTCGACTGAAACATTTGTTCAACACTGTGCTTCAGCCTTCTTCATCAACATACTGATTTACAAATGTTTGCCTTGTTTGTGTTTGCCTTCCCAGGAAGTTCCAAACCATGGGTTTCATGTTGGAATGAAACTGGAGGCTGTTGATCTGATGGAACCTCGCCTGGTATGTGTGGCCACAGTAACTCGCATTATCCATCGTCTTTTGAGGATACACTTTGATGGGTGGGAAGATGAATATGATCAGTGGGTGGATTGTGAGTCCCCAGACCTCTATCCAGTAGGATGGTGTCAGCTAACTGGATATCAACTACAGCCTCCAGCACCACAGTGTAAGTTCTGTTTTGTAAATAACCTAACAGTTACATACTGGTCCTTGTTCATGGGTGATGGTTTTCCTCACTTCATTTGTTACGCATTGGGTCACAAGGTATAACAGAAATAGAACAAATTCTTGCTAACACTTAGAAGAACACAGTTCTAATCTCTTCCACCTTGGCTTTTAAAGTACTTCTGGGGATTTCTGTGCCTGTGTACTATTTTTCATTGCCAGAAGATGCTCCTTTGATCCAGGCAAAAAAAATCATCAGTTTCGGGTAATACAGCAACATGAATTTTCAGTTATAAGATTGCAAATATATATGCTTTATATATCATCCTTGAGGGAACTCAGCGCATGTGTGCAAAAGTATTTATGTGAGAAGACTGTTTTATTTAGTGCATTAAGACTTGTCCTGTCACGTCAATTTATATGATAATAATTGACAACTGTCTTTTGAGTACTGTTGGTTGTTTGAGAAGGTAATATTAGCTACTGGTGGCAGTTTAATGGCAGGCCTTTCCTTCTGCCTTTGTTCAGTCACTAAGGAGAAATTCTGTGACTGTGTAGCAGCTTTGACACATTCTGAAGTGTTGTTTCCAAAATACTAAACCTTATTTTTGAATTGTTAATTCTTTGCAGCATCAAGAGATAGCCAGTCAAGTTCATCAAAACAGAAGAAAAAAGCTAAATCGCAACAGTACAAAGGACATAAGAAAAGTGGGTGACAAAGTAGTGTTTGCACTTTTTCTCTTGTTTCAAAAGTTTGTGGTTTCTTCTTAAGTCTCTGATCTATTTGGGTCTGTTTGTGTGTAAACAGGTGTTATGCTTAAAGGTGCAGTATGCCATAAAAGGAACTTTTTCATGGAGAACAATCTATTTTTTTAGTAACTTGCAAGAGGGTTGACACTGCTGATGATAATCTATATTAATTGTAGGTAGACAACTGTTGGAGTATTTTTAGTATTTGGACATCATTTTGGTTTAATATATAGACTCTGTAGGTTTAGTGCCTTATACAACATACTCAGGTATCAACACATTTTTAATTCTGTTCTTTGTAACACAGGTATAGGAACCAAGTTACTTGGGTCAGAAAGAGCAGGATGTAGAAAATTTAGATTACCATCAAGCTGGTTCCTTTTAAAACAAAAAATTTAATCATTTGCCACTTTTTTAGATGATATCTGTGGTAAGCTGGATGTAAATAAAACTTTTGTATTATTATATTCAGAAACAATAAGTAGCATCACTGTATATGGCTATTATTGTGACAGTAAAACATAGCAATGACAATTTTAGAAATCTGAAATATCCAGGTTCTTTCCATAGTAATTATTTCCTTCTGGATCAAATTATCTTCAAAATTCTGAACCAATTTTGATTTGCACAAATACACATTTCAATTCCTCTATTTCCATAACTATCTCAGTTTAAACTGAAAATCTTTTGTAAGGAAAATAAAGGGAGTAGAGGCAGCCAATCATAAGAGGACCTTGTGCCTTCCAACATCATTCTTCTCTGGAAATCAGATCCATCTGTATTCTCTTCTCTAAGCAGTATTTTAGTGGCATATGGAAGCTTTATTCCAAAGCTCTCAAGCCTTTTTTCCAATAATTTGTCAGTTTTGAAGCTAGCCCTTGAGCCAAGATGAGCAGCAACAGGACAGCCATTGTACAAGAAATATATGTGCAAGAAATGACATGGTAGATAACATGTGTAGCATTTAACAAGATCTAGGCTTATCCTAATTTTCAATTATGTTTAACTCAAAATTTTACAGTATCTTTTTTTAAAAAGAACCAATTACAGTTGAGGGGGAAGGGTTTTTCTGCCATATAAGGATGAATGGTTTGGCTTGATAGAGGTAGGTGGTCTGGTTCCAGACAGCCTAACTATCTATGTTGTGTTTGGAGCATCAAATCACTGTGCTGACTCATTCTCTTGATGTTTTCTTGGAAGCAGTTAAGAGTTGGAAAGAAGGTGCAATATTTTACACTGCAGACACATGAGCAGATCAGCTACAGGAAAAGGGTCTGTTATCTGTCATCTTGAATTGGCCCTGCTGCTTTGTCTATCTGAGCAGGTTTTCTTTCGGAAGCTATGCTAGACCATCCTGCTCCTTACCTTATCCCTCTCCTTCCAGCTAATACTTCTGCAAAAGTTTCTTGATATTTCTCTTACAGTTAGTGTAAGACAAACACTGGAAAGGAGATTCCTCTTAGCTAGTGCCATAGGAAGGAGATTTATCTTAGTGGCGTTTGTTCGTTCCTCACTAACCCGAAGTAAATGTTGGCCATGGAAAGAAGGAATAACTTCTGATGGGTTTCTTTTTTGGACTGCTTACTCTATAGTAAGAAATCTACTTAATCTTCAAAAGGACATGAGAGAATAAGGTCATGAAAGGTTAATAGTTGACTACCTAGGATCCCTAAGCTAGAGTATTTTTAGCACAGTGAGGTGTTACTTCCACATTTTTTTCATGTGTACTCCTGACACACTCCAGGTTGTCCCTGAGTCATTCTGCTGTGAGTGATGATGCAGATCTCCAGTGCAGTGTTTTGCCTCCGTAATGAGTCCACTGAGAAGCAAGCAGTGTGTGTTCCATGTGAGGTAGCTGATTGCTGGTGAACTCTCTTAATGAGATCCTGGTAGAAGAGAAGATACTGGGACTCCTGGTGTTCTGCTCTGCCCTCACAGAAACTAGTACAACCTATGGAGTTAAAACACCACACTGAATGGGAACAACTTACCTTGCTCTTGTTATTCTTTTCTTTCAAATCTACCATGGGCAACATGATGTTCATTTCCCCTTAACTCATACTGATATATAAGTGACATAATGTGCACACGTTGAGTAATAAAGATAGAAAAATGCCAGGTTGCTACCCCTTTTATGGAGGAGCTGATCATAATACAGATGTTCCCAGGACAGCTTTTAAGCATTATTTATTACTGTCAATTTCAATTGTTTGGAATGCCCAAATTCTTTGTTTTGGTGAAAGTACTGGTATACAGAGCATGAAATAATTCTCTTTATAATGTAGCAATGTCTTTAGTCTATTTTATATAAGAAAACTGTGCAAAAGGGAGTAGAAACTACCTAGCATCCTACCTGGCCTAGCCTTCAATGAAGCTGGCTTTTTTTCTTATATTTATCGTGTTGCTATGCAAGCAGCTTGTAATGTTGACCATGAACCCATTCAGCAGCATTTGGATAGTAAAGGTGTGCTTATTTTCCCTTTTTAGTTTTTATTCCTTTTTAGATAGAGTTTTTTATAAATATAACATGTTCTGTGTGTGCAAAATACCAGGTGGACTGTTTGAGTTATGCCTTAGGCCTTCTGCTTTGTCCCTGTGTTCTCAGCCAGCAGCATGTCCTTGGCTGCTGCTTGCTTCTTATCCAAAGAGAGGAAGATCAAGGGTCAGGTAGTTTGTGTGTTTTCTGGATAGTTACTGTGTTACTTGTTAATTTCTGATTTCAGAAGTTCCGTGAGGCTTTTGTGAATACTTGGGACTCACTGCTAGTTGTGTTTCCAGTAGTGTTTATTTCAAGGGATTTTGTACAAGGTGCCTATTGGTCAGAAGGCTGTGCAGGTGGCAACATATCAGCTAGCCTGGACAATTCAGTAATAATGTAGTATGTAGTGTCTGCTCATATTTTCCACGCTCTAGTAGGTGTATATATTGGAATAAGGTTATTGAAATGGTAATTTGACTTCTGTATTTTAAAAGCTGGGATTCTGTAGATAACATTGTGCCTAATTGTGGTTTTATCTCTCGAAAGTGCTCATCCTGCAGTCATCTTGTGAGGAGAATATTTAAGCATGGTGGTGTTTCTTGCATGTGCATAACCTAGTTAGCTTTGCTCTTCAGGGCTAGGGGTTTTTTTTGTCATGTCTTTATCTGACAATGCTGAGAATATTTAAGTGTTAATTGCTCAAGCAGTTCAAGCCCCTTGAATACTGGGTTCAGTTTCAGGCCCCTCACTACAAGACTCTGAGGGGCTGGAGCGTGTCCAGAGAAGGGCAACAAAGCTGGGGAAGGGTGCAGAGCCCAAGTGTGGTGAGGAGCAGCTGAGGGAGCTGGGGGTGCTGAGCCTGGAGCAAAGGAGGCTCAGGGGAGACCTTCTGGCTCTGCACAGCTCCTGATAGGGCATTGTGGCCAGGTAGGAATTGGTCTGTCTGAAGGCATTTTAGAAGATACTTTCATGAAATCATGAAATGCTCAGTGATGTTTGTAAGCTGCTGTAAAAATAGGAAGCACCAGTCTAAAGTAATTAAGAGTATGCATTTTTAAACCAGGCTTTTGGAGGTGATAAACTTTGTTTGGATTGGATTATTCCCCAGAACCATCCTTCCTCTCCTAGGTGCACACACACTCTGAAACAACTGCAGTTTCAAACTGAGCCCATAAGTCTTGGGTGCCAGAGGATTGAGCAGTGTGGCTTCAGCAGAAGCAATCTCCAGCATCTCTATTTCACTGGTAGAGTGTGAAATAAGTGGGTGATGTTTTTAAGCAACACACTTGAAGTCCTGCCAGCCAGTCGCTACAGTTCCATAAGTGTGGTTGTTGAGCACAGTGTTCCCACCAACAATGGAAAGGTGCCATTGTGCAGGCCCTGGTTGTCCAGAATCCGTGCATATGAAGCAGAGCCATTTCTCAGTGAACAGTCTGAGTTACCTAATGCACTTTAACCCAAGCGTTTATTTTAGTTTGACTTGATGTTTAGAGAGGAAGATACCAGTTGGGAAGAAACCTGTCAGTTTGTCCAGCCCTCCCATGGCAGGTGAGGTGCAGAGGAGCTTCTCTGGTGATGACGAGTTGACTCCTCCTCCATATCGAACCCTTCCAGCACAGACAGCCCCGGAGGCCCTCCAGCCTCCCAGGACTAGCCAAGAGTTCAGTCCCAGCCTCAAAACAGGTAACTAGCCACAACAGTCTCCATTACTGCAGAGGGAAATGATGGACAGGGTGGGGAGCTAAGCATGGTCTAGCATGGACTCATCAGATTTATGTATTTATTTATTTATTTCATTTTGGTTGGTTTTATTTTTTTCTGTTAAAGAGCTTTTCATTCTCACTGATGCACCATGTCATTGAATTATCATAGAAAAGGATTGCAGCTGTTCTGGAACTTCATAGGAGGCTATATTGTAGGTTCTTGAGGCACAAAGGCACCAAGGAGCTCTGCAGGGTTTCAGCATACAAAAAGGTACTCTGTAAAACTGAATGGTAATGTGGATTTGGGAGTATTTGATGTAAGCATGAAGTTACTGTAGACAATTTCCTGCAGGGAGAGTACACAGTAAGGAGTGGGTTTTGCCTTTTTGTCAGAAAAAGGCAATTATCTGGGAAAATATCATCAGAGTGTAAGCATTATTTGAAATTTTGTGGGGTACTGGTATAGAAAATATATCTGAGAAGAGATGGTGCTTTTAGAA